ATGAAAATCATTTAAAAGGAATTGTTGAGAGTGCAAAAGATCTTTTTCTAATTTTAAGAGATTTAGAGAAAAAAGACCCTGAAGAGTTGCAAAGATTATACAATGAGTATGTCGTTGAATTAGGAGAAAAAATAAAGGTTTTACAAACCAAATTAGAAATAAGACAATTGTTTAAAGAAGTGCAAGAAGAACAATCACTACAACAACTTCAACTTGTTGAAGTAAATAAGTAGAGAAAGATAAAATTCTAGATAGTTGTAGCGTTCATAAAAATAGTGTAAAAGTTGAATAAAAGAAAGGGGAGTATAAACTCCCCTCATCTAATAAGTAATTTTTGCAATTTGTTTATTAGATAAAGAAATTATTCTCCGCCAAATCCCTGGTTTCTGCTTCCTCCCTTCTAATCACCAATAAAAACCACAAAACATTCTTCCTGACTTAACATTTATCCTTAAAAATTATATTATTTATTTCTTTTTCTTTTGGAGAACTTAGAAAGTTTTATTTTTTCTTCCTCAGGCTCTTGTTTCTCCTGATCTAAATCTATTTCCTCGGTAATTTTAGTTGGTTTAGATTTCTTTTTCCTTTTTTCCTCCTTATCAAACTTTTCAATATCTTGGGGGGTTAATTTTTCTGTTTTTAACTGATATTTTTTTAAGTTGGATTTGATATCTTTAATTCTTTGGGATTTCTTCCGAACCACTTTCTCTTCCTTTTTGCGTTCTTGGAGATACTGTAAAAGTAGGTTGCGATTAAATTTCATATTTTTTAATCACTCCTCTTCACTGGTGGCCTGCCCACTTTCACTAATCACCCTTAATATCTCCCCCGCTTCTTCAGCTTTCAACTTCTCTTCAAAAATATACCGCAACCAATTCTCCTGATAATCTTTAGGTATGTTTCAATGCGGGTCATAAAAAGAGGTGATTTCTTGATTATCTATGGGAATTATTGTGGGTAATAGATTATACCAACTATCATTGGCTTGGACGAAGAGTAAAGATTTGTCCATAAAACTAATGTAAGTTAAGACTTTTCAAGTTTTATTTTTATTAGTTTGGAAGACTGAGTTAGTAGTAGGACTATTAGTAGTTCAAATAAAAGTTCCTCCTAGTTTGCCTGCTTGGGAGATATAATCTTGGAGAGCAGAATAACCATGTTCCCTAAATTCTTTACCTGCTCACTTCTCAAAAGCCTTTAAATCATCCAAAAAATAATAGAATTTATGAGGTGCCCCTCACTTCCCACTAATATGCACCTCTAAAGTCTCTTTACTAAGAGTATAAGTACTTTGAGGAGTAGGAAAATTAGTGAATTTTACTCCTTGTAAATGCTTAAAAAGATGACTTAAAAGTCAAGACTTCCCTTTCCCACTTGCACCAGTTATCTCAATAAATCTATGCTTAGAAAGTAAAGAAAAAACTTGTTCTTTTTTTCTTAGGCGTAAGAGTTTTCATAAGAGTCAGGCTCAGAGTTTTCATAAGGAGACTATTACTAAAAAAA